CCCCAAAACCCCAAAACCCCAAAACCCCAAAACCCCAAAACCCCTAAGGACAAAGTTCGTGTTGAAATTGCAATAAATTTATACAAATCATGGCTGCGAAGGGAAACCCTTATGCCTCTTTGCTTAAGCAAGAGGATATTAACTCTCCTCCTAAAGTTATCGGTAAGGACATGGTAATATCTCCATAGTTGTGCAGGGATCAAGCGAGAGTGGAAAAACTACACTGATTCAATCTCTAGTGTATCATTACACAAAGCAGAAGGTGAATGAAATCAAGGGAACTATCACTATTAGGACGAACAAGAACAATAGGATCACCTTTATCGAATGTCCTAATGATATTAATGGCATGATCGACTGAGCCAAGATCTGCGATCTTGCTCTTTTAGTCATTGATGCCTCAATAGGTTTCGAAATGGAAACATTTGAGTTCCTTTCAATTCTTAAAAATCATGGAATGCCTTCAACAATGGGAGTGCTTACTCATTTAGACTACTTCAAAGAAAACAAAGAGCTTAGGAAGACAAAGAAAAATATGAAGAAGAGGTTCTGGAAAGATGTATATGATGGAGCCAAGCTATTTTACCTCTCAGGCGTCGTGTTTGATCGTTATCCCAAAATAGAAATTCACAATTTAGCGCGTTTCATTTCTGTAGCTAAGCATCAGCCTCTTTCTTGGAGGACCAAGCATGCTTACTTGATTGCTGATAGGTTTGATGTTATCCAGAACATTGAAACGAAGAAGGATAACGCTATGGTGAGCTTCTATGGCTATGTTAGAGGCACATATTTCGAGAAAAACACGAAATTACATGTCATGGGAATTGGAGATTATCACATTACCTCAGCAACAAGGATCCAAGACCCAGTTCCAGTAGAAGCAAAGAAACCAGCAGGAATGTCCAAAGCAGAATTTGAAAAGGAAACAGGAAAGAAGAAGAGGAGAACTCTAAAAGACAAAGAAAGAATTCTCTATGCCCCATTCAGTTCTTTGGGAGCTTTGAACTTTGATAAGACAAGTGGGTACATCACAATTCCAGATAAATATGTTGTCTTCTCTAAGGCTGAGTTTGATAACACTATTCCTGGGAATGAAGGACAGAAGATGGTCAGAGAATTACAGGACCGTAAGTTCCAACAAGAAGAGCAAAAGGGAGATGATAATTTGGAACTACTTGAAGGAGTCAATTACCAAAATGAAAAAGAAACTCATCAAGATAAAGTCAAGGAAAGCAAGATTAGAGTGGTTCAAAGGTAAATATTAAGATAACTATCTCTAGTGACGGCAAAGTTAAAGAATACTCAGATAGAAGAGATGCATTAGTTTCAAAGAATGAGAAGGAAGATAAAAATATGGAATCTGAATTTGTCAAACCAGAGAGTTTCAAAAAGTTGAAAAGTAAGATAAAATCATAAAGCTAAATCCATTTAACTTATATCATCATTCCAAAAATATCTAACAAACATATAGCTTTATCAGACCTTATCTATGAGGAATCTACTTCTGAAGATACATCAGATACAGACATCAACCAGCTAGACTCTTCAAACGTAAAGATTGGTTTAGACACATCTGATAAAGACCTACTCCAAATCTTGTGAAAGCCTAAATTTGTCACTGGCCAGGCTAAAGTAGAAGGCCTCGACGAAATGCAGCCTTCTGATTCAGATGAGGAGGAAATGGCTGAAAACCAGAAGCATCGCCAAGAGCAGCTTGGAGCAAATGCAGATGACAGTGGCGAAGAAGAGGACGATAAGTTCCTTAAACCCCATCTTAGAAATCAGCCAACTAAGGAAGAAATCCTTAAAATAAAGAAAAGGGATGAATTCATTGATGAAGACTATGGATACTTCAAAGAAGGAACTTATGTTAGAGTTGAAGTAGAGATTCCAAAGAAATATGCTGTAAGAATGGAACCCCAGAAAATAGTAACTCTGTGTGCTCTTGAGAAAAGAGAGGAACAATTTGGACTAATGAGAGTTAAAATTAAAAAGCATCGGTGGTACCCTCATGTATTGAAGAACAAAGATCCCCTAATTTTCTCTATTGGATGGAGAAGGTTCCAATCCATCCCAGTCTTTACAACAGAAGATCAAAATGAGAGGACCAGAATGCTTAAGTATACTCCTAAATTTGGATTTTGCCATGGAGTATTCTATGGTCCGCTGTACCCATTGACTACTTCGTTCATCTGTATCCAGGGGCTTGATAACAAGGCATCTAATTTCAGAATTTCAGCAAATGGGATTGTAGTTGAGATGAACCAAAACTTCAAAGTTATGAAAAAGTTAAAGCTTATTGGAGAACCATACAAGATCCATAAGAATACAGCCTTTATCAAGAAGATGTTCAACTCAACACTCGAAGTGGCGAAATACGAAGGAGCTAAGCTCCAAACTGTCAGTGGTATTAGAGGCCAAATCAAGAAAGCTGTTGAATTAACAGGACAAGAAGGATGTTTCAGAGCAACATTTGAAGATAAACTTAAAAAGAGTGATATCGTATTTTGTAAAGCTTGGTTCCAAGTTGATATCCCTAAATTCTATAACCCTCTCTCCTCCTATGGAAACACCAGAATGCTAAAGGTGACATCAGAAATAAGAAGAGAAAAAGATATTGATCTAAAATTCCCTAAAGATTCTCAATACATCATGAGAGAGGAGGAAGAAAAGTTAAAGCAGGTCCGAGATGAACGTATAAAAATGCCTTTGTATGTCCCAAAGAACATCAGCTCGAACCTACCTTTCAAAGCCAAAGCTAAGGCCCAAAAGCTACATGATAAAGAAGGTGAGGAGAAGCGTAGACGCACAAATCTGCTTCAAAAGTTAGATTTGCCTGCTAAAAGGCCTTTCAAAGCTCAGTTTATGAATGAAAGTGATAAGAAGATCTACTCCTTGGTCCAAAGGCTTGGCACTATTGATAAAGAAAAGTACAAACAGAATAAGAAAAGGGTAGAAAAACTAGAAGCTAAGAAGAAAGAAGAACAAGACATGAGAATGGAGTTCGCTAAGAAAGCCAGACAGAGAAGACAGGCTGAGAGGAATAAAAGAAGAAGGAGATAAATTAAGACTTATTCATAATTTTATATGAGTTTAGATGAGAAAAGCCAAAACTGATTTAAGCTTTTATTAAAAATTACAATTGGGTTTGAAAATCACATACATTTTAGCAATCTTATCACTTCATATTCAACCTTCAACTCTGTATTCGCAACTAATTTCAATAATCCATACAGTCGCTGGGGTTTTGGGGTTTTGGGGTTTTGGGGTTTTGGGG